TTGTTCATTTCTTAGAAAAATTTCCTCCATTCATCTCATTCATTTTCTTCTTTTATACTTCTGATTCAGTGGGCATTAAAATATTTAGATTGGATTTTTTTTCTTCTTTTTAATATTTACATCTTTTTTTCCTCACATTATCTGGGAAATTTACTAAAGAATATTTTCAAACTCATTGATATTTTTCCTTATTTTGACAGTCATGTTTTAATTTGGAATTGCTTTTATAATTTAAAATTAAATTGTTTAATTTTTCATAATCTTTTCTTTCTGTTTTAAGGGAAATAATATCTCAAATATACCTGGGAATAATAATTTAGAGGTATTTTAATTACCTTCTGTTTTCTATATTGTCTACTTCCCGCTCACCATTTAAATTTTATTTTATTTTTTCACTGAGACTTCTTACTTTGATTTTAGGCTTTCTTCAGTGTCTGGAGTTCTTTTACTGGAGGCTTACAGAGGATGCAATATACAGAGAGGTGGGCGTTTGTTTGTAGAGAACAGGCAACAATTAGTTAAGAAACTCCAAAAGCTGGAGTGTAATGGCCTTCACTCTGGGGTCCCTGACCCCTACTGCTCTAGGAATAATCCCAGTATATTCGATCAATGACTTTAATCACCACTCTAATTTCTGGCTGTAGACTAAGTACCTGGCTGTTCAAAGTTGTGCTTTGGAATACAGAAATGGCTGCTTTTGACTAAAGCTTTAATTCTGTTACTCACTCCAGCTTCTTTTGTCCTCAGGGTCCTGGGTCTTTTCAGGTTCTACAGGGCTTTCTCCATGGGTGTAATCTGCTTTACACATCCGTGAGGCTGGAGCTTTTTTCATTCTGCACCTTCATAGGTCATTCCTCTGTCTACTTTATATCTTTTGTGAATTTGTTTCTTCACAATCTCTTGCCACTGAAGGTTATTCTTCTCTTTGTTGTTTTACATTTAACCCTTTTATTTTTCCTACCGTAATTTCAATGGCATCTCAAGAAGCATTAGAGATAAATATTTTGGTTGCATCTGGTTTTTTTGAAACTGAAGTTAATCAGCTCCCTTTTCCTGGCAAATTTCCACAACTCATGAGATTGGAAAATGCCAATTGAATAGCATATGTATTTTCCATCAATCTACTAGCTAGATATTGGTTAATTTTACTTCTTGAAATACAAGTGTCAGTAAAGAAGTTATCAACTATACTCTGGTTTCTCTTCAGATTGTATAAATCTTTTGCCTTTTACTAAAGATTTCCATGGAGGGTAACAACTCTGAGTCTTAAACCAATTTTTTGAGGTCTTGTTTCAGCAAGGTTTCAATTAAAAAAAAAAAAAGAAGTTTCCAACTAAGAAATGATTCATCCGTGCTTAGTTTTGTAACAAATATTAGAAATATAAATCCCTAAATCTGCTGAAATTCTTATATAAAGCTTTTTCTTCTCTGCACTGTTGTCGTTGACTTTAAGGATGTGTTTATATTCACTGCTGAGTTCTTCACATTCATCCCCCTCCACCTATTTAGAATGTCGCATCTTGTATAATGTAGACTGTAGTATCTTCTTGAGAAAGAACATTGGTAAAATCTAAACACTGAGATAAAATGATGTCTGAGCAGTCAAAAAAAACTGCACAACCAAATCACATGAACTTTCTAAACAGCATTTCAGAGAAGAACATCTAACAAAGATTTTTCTTTTCATTCAATGGTAATGGAAAATTCAAAGCAGCAAATTTAAAAAGGGTGAGGGGTTACTATAAGCAGAAAAATTACAGCAGTCTGGCAATTAGGAAGAGGACAGAGAAGAAAGCCTACTGTGAGAAGACCTAAATATGCAAAATGCAAAATATTTCACGTTAATGTTAGCAAAAACTTCCTTAAGGGCCAACAAAAGTGTATATGTTCATTTTTATGTTATATCTAAGAAGAATCATTGACAATTATAGTGATAGCTTTTTGTTAATTTTAAATTGCATAAAAAATGTAAATTTTATTCAGAGGGCTACAGGAAGACATGTTAGTAACAAGATTTTGTTACACTTTGGACAAAATAGCTATTTTTCAAAGTGCTGATGCATGAAAAATTGTTTTTCATGAGTGTAAGCACTAGAGTGAAAATTAAATGTGTTTCTCACTTATTCCACTTAATCATGGTATATTTTTGAGAGATTTTCTGAACATCGCAGAGACTCTGCTTTCTCATCTGTACCTAATAACTGCACTTATCCAGTTCATGTGAATAAATGGTCCCAATAAAATGTCTATCACATTACTTAGTACATTCATCTTGAATATTTATTATCATTATACGTTAATTTTCATTGCAGACTCTGGAAATTTTATTTTAGTAATATAGTCACCAAGTGACTACATTATTTTTATTATTCTATTATTGAACTTATTTATAAATATACATAATTATAAATTTATATATAATTCTGAATAAAATTATTTAATTTATTACATTATATTTTACTTAATCATTATTATGGTAAATATTTAGGTGATTACATCTTGTTTCTTATTCTTGAGAATGTTAAGATTATGTTAGATGTTATATATCTTTGAAGAACATGTAGGAGTTTGACCGTTAGTTTTTTTTAATGAAGTGGAATATGGCAAATCTCATGTAGCATTAATTTTAATGTCAATGAGGCAATGGAAAATCAAAACAGCATTGTAGACTAAAGGTATCGAGAGGGCAATACAGTGTATAGAAAAGAAGTATAGTCACAAAGAATGTTTCTGATTTATGTTTTTCAGGTACATCTAGTTCTTCTATTTGTCTACCTATAGTTGGTACACTCATAACATTTTAATTTATTTCATGTGTTGTCATAGTTGTCCTCTGTGTTGTCCTGGGAAAGAAAATGCTACCTGTTTGTGAAAAAGAAGATGAGTGAAACAGGGCCAGTTTCAATTGTTAAAAAAGAAGTTCTGAGGGCTCTGGCAAAATTCATCATGAAAATTGTTGTTCTGGAAAAAACTGTTTTCCACATGCTGGGCAATTCCTGCAGTGAAGGATAGATATATCCTGGTTAAAGTGATAGTTCACTCTGGAGTAGTATAAAGGTAGGCTGTTAATTGTCGTTAATACTTATGGTAAATTGAGTTTAAGAGTCTTTACTGAGGACAGATTTTTGCGTGGGAGAATATGGACCACAGACAACTGGTGGGAGGAAGTTCATTGAGTGGTAAAAAGGTAAAGACAGGAAGGAGATTTTTCAAAGAGACTATTGCAGTAGTCAAGATGAGAGCTGACGGTGGCCTGGACTAGAGTAGCAGCAAAGGGGACTGAGGGATTAAGGACACATTTAGGATGGCAAGATTGGCTGAAGTAATTAGTTGTGGTAAAAGAGCAACATGTAAGAATTGTCCTGATGACTGTGTGTTTTCGGTGTTAGATAAAGAAAACGTTTACAAATAGGGGAAAGGTTAGAGGAAGAACAGACTTTGGAAAGAGAATCCGGAGCTCAATTTCGAAATGCCTGTTTTGCATCCAAGGGAATATGTTAATTAAGTATCTTTATACATGAATCTGAAATGTATAGAACATATAAGGACCAATGGTATAAATTTTAGAGTATAGTGAATATACTCTCCAAGGGGACAAATCATAAGTTATGACCCTCACTATTATAGAGTGGAAATAATATGTAAGCTCTGTAACTGGAGTATTTTTATGCCCAACTAAGCATTTGAAAATCTACTTCGGTCAGGCTCAAGAGAATCTGAATGTGAATCTCCCAATTTTTACTCATAGCTTCCTCTTACTATGTGCTGCCATGAGGGGGCGTGTTTGGGCTGTATTCTGTGACCTCGAAGGATAGTGACATTAATGTCTAGGTACATATACCTAGAAGTCTAGTGACAGAATCTGTGTGAACCAAGACTTCACTTGCGACAGCCTCACATGGAGAATGTAATGAGCCATTCTCTTCTTGCATACAGGTAACTGGCAGGTTTGTGAATTTGTTACTGTCATTTTGTACACTTCAAATTTAAGATTCAACCTTCCAAATTAAATCATGCGTTTGGTAGCAGCAATTATCATTTTAGAAATAAATGAAAACAATGATTTGGTTAAATATATAATCCAATTTTATTAATTATTGGTTTCAAATGAGGTTATATTAATATTAATGTCTTTGAATGTTTTTATTCATTCCCTGATTCAGGTCCCCTCTCATCATCACCAATTGAATGGCTGCTTTGATTTGCATTTATTCAGATTATTAATAAGTATGAACATATATTTATGTATTTGTTAGCCATTCAAGTTTCCCCTTGTGTGAAGTTCTTGTCTACATCTTCAAGTAATATCTGGGTGACTATATTTGCAGAATTTTTTTTTTTTTTTTGAGATGCAGTCTTGCTCTGTCACCCAGGCTGGAATGCAATGGTACAATTTCTGCTCACTGCAACCTCCGCTTCCCTGGTTCAAGCAATTGTTCCTGCCCCAGCCTCCCAAGTTGCTGCAATTACAGGCACCAGATACCATGCCCACCTAATTTTTGTATATTTTATTGAGACGAGGTTTCCCCTTGTTGGTCAGGTTGGGCAGGTTGGTCTTGAACTCCTGACCTCAGGTGATACACCCACCTCAGCCTCCCAAAGTGCTGGGATTACAGGCGTGAGCTACTGTGCCCAGCCAGAAATATAACTCTTAATGTAGTAAAAGCATATTTAGCCTAATGAAAAATAAGATAGAAGAAAATATACTATAGTAAAATATAAAAACTTTAAAAGTCCTATTAATATCAGTAATCACAAAATACAAATAGGTTAAAGCTGAGTGCAGTGGCTCACACCTGTAATCCCAGCACTTTGGGAGGCCAAGGTGGCAGGCTTCTTTTTTTTTCCAAGTGTGCAGTTAATATTCCTCTAATAAGAAAGGTTAAAAATAAAGTGATAGAAAAACATATGGCAAAAAAATGTAATACAATGATGTACATATGCTTATGAAAAGACATGCATGAGAATGTTTATAGTACCACTATGAAAAATGCCTCCAATTTGAAAAACAAAGAAATGTTTATCAACAGAAGAATAAATAGATTGTAATACACAGTATTTATAGAATAGAATACTATACATCAGTGAGAATGAATAAGCCACACTACAGGCAATAACATGGATGGATATTTAAAATCTACTGTTGAGTGAAAAACCCAGATACAAGTGAGGACATATGCTCTGATGTTATTCATATAGAATTCAAAATCGGCTGAGCCTAGTCTACGGTGCTAGAAGTAGGAGAATAGGTCAGGTGCAGTGGTTCATACCTGCCATCCCACTGCTTTGGAAGCGTAGGCAGGAGGATCATTTGAGGCTAGAAATTCCAGACCAGCCAGGGCAACATAGCAAGACCCCATGTCTAAAAAAAATAGCTGGACATAGTGGCTGCACATCTATCGTTCTAGCTACTACTCCAGAGGCTGAGGTGAGAGGATCCCTTGAGCCCAGGAGTGAGTTATGATCGCACCACTTGCCCTCTCCCGTGGACAACAGAGCGAGACCTTATCTGTAAAAAGAAGCAAAAACAAAGCCCCAAAACTTTGTCCCAGCTTCTTCTGAGAGGGTGGTGGTAGTAAAACACACAAGGCTTCAGGAGATGAACATTGGATGATTTCTTTGCCTTTTTTGTTTGTTTTTAGAGCCAAGAACTCTGGAACTTGTTAAAAAAAATAAAAAAAGAGGAAAGAAAAAGAAAAAAAAAAATCCTCATCATTAATGCAAATGGGAGGAAACTCTTCAGTAAAGAACCGGTTACATCATGAAAGGTGAAATCATTACGGAATTGATTGCTTAGATATATGAGTTGTATCTGGGTTTAAAAATAATAAATGTGGGTTTTTTCTTAAAAAAAAACCTATTGGTTATATTCAGCTTGAATCCTTTGCCACTACATCAAGAGCTAACAGTTCAACAATTCATCTCCGCAACCTCCTACCTCATTTCCTTTCTCAGTCCAGTTTACAGGAAAATGGAAGAAAAAAATGATTCCCCCCGCCCCCACCAAACACAGTCTTAGTTTCACTAGTGGTCACCTCTGAAAAGGGAAAAATATCTGAAAATAGACAAAGGTGAACACGAACATCACTTAATTGCCCCCACACAGACAGCCTCCGCTCCTGGGAGGGCGTGGGAAAAGGGGAGTGGAAGAAGGGGGCTAGGGAGGAGTAAGACGTGGGAGGGACGGCGGGGCACAGGTGACGTTCTCCGCCGTCAGCGTTCCAGGCACACAGCCGCAGTCGGCCACGCGCGCCTCCGGGAGCGAGGATGCCGAGGCTGGTGAGCGGGGAAGGGGCTTGGGAAGGAGAGCGCAGGGAGGGCGATGTCGACGGAGGCCCTGCGGCGGGTGGCAGTGGGAGGCGCGGAGCTTCGGCTCTCCCACAATCATGTCCGGGGACTTGATCTGCGGGGTTGATGGCCGCGCTTTTCTCTAAGCGCTATCCCTTGCTGAGGAGCCGATTTTGCCTTCCAAAGGGTGGTTTACAGGCCGCTGCTGGCGTTGGGGGTTCTCCATTCCAATTCCCTGAATAAAAGATGCATAGGCCGGAGGGCTCCGGAGGCGCTTGTTCCGAGCTGGCGAGGCTGGCGCATCCCCCTGCAGGCTTATGGCTTGGCTCTCGGGCTCCAGCTCCCAAAGCTGGGGAGGCGTCCCCTATTTTAAACTGCCCCCAAAAGAGAATGAAGAATGCTGCGTGGGTTCGTGTTAACACCAAAAGCTGAGGCGCGGATGCAGATTTCCAGGCTCGCTCTCTCCGGGAGAGTTCCTGCGTCTTCTCTTTGTTACTCAGCCCCTTTCTCCCTCCTAGCTCTTGCCTGGGGGAAGCCATGAACTGAAGAGGGTTAACTCTGAAGCCTCGCTTGAGAGAACTGAAATGCTCTGTGATGGTGATGCTCTGAAGGGTTAACCCAGGGTATCTAGAGAAACAGACATTTTGTTTATTCGGAACCAGCTTACAAGACAAAAAGACGGAGAAGGTTTTCATATACCCCACTGGTATTTGGGTATTTGAAATAAAAATCCAAATACAATGAATGCCTCAGGATAATGTTTTCATGTATGGTTTGATGGCAAGACCGCACAGCCAGTGATTTCACTGTCTTTCTTAACAAAGGAGAATGGTGGTCTGTGAGCTAGGGTCTACTGCAAGCTAGATGCACTTAATCCTCTTTATAACTCTCCTTCTAACAAGGAATTATTACCTGGTTTTACAAATAAACAGGCGGAAGGCTAATATTTCCAAGTCCATGTGACTACATGTGGGGTGATGTGGATTTGGACATAGAAACTTGCCGAGGAAGAGGCATGAATAGGGGCAATGTAGCTGCCAGGTGGGCAGCGTCAGGTAAGACCCAGGCTTTTGTGAACCCTGGACTGCATGGCAAGGGTTATAAATGGGCTTCTTTGTTTTCATGACTGTAGTTCCCTTCTATGATTTGATCGATTCATTGTTTTTAGCTGCCTAACACATGTTGGCTTTGACTAAAACCTGGGCTCTATACTAAGTGCTTTAATTAATGTTTGTGAAACACCTGTTATTTGGAATTGGTTTGGAACTTCCGCTTTATATTGCCTTCATTAAGTTTAGGTCATGGCTCTCTTCCAAGGAAAGAAAAGGGCATGTCTTGACCAGAATTAAAATGAAGAAATCCATTGAGTAGGAGGATATTAGAATTGAGTGGCTCCCATTAGACAGGAAAAGGAAGAGAAATCCTTATGGCAGGCAAAGGAGGAGAGATTTAGATCCTTCAGAACTCTATTTCCCCACCCACCGCTCCTAAGCCCACAAAAAGAAGAATATCACAAGATAATAAAAATCCCAGAGAAACTGAAGGGAATACAGAAAGACCCACCTTATGGTGATAAGGAAAATGAATTCTAGCAGGGAAGTCATTGCATCTAAAAGGAATGGCAAAAACAGGGCTTAGTTAAGGCAAACACTGAGAACAAGGAGATGGGATTCCCCCAGGTAGAATATCACCCTTTAACAATCATCCTGAACCTAAACCAATGTCATTTAAATTATTATGGTTCAACATTCTAGAAATAAGCTTCAAATTATAGTAGCAACAGGTGGGGCTAAACAGGAGCCGATAAGAACATATAACTTCAGAATAGGACACCCATGATGGGTTTACTAAGGAAAAAGTGGTCAGGGCATCCCTCTAAAGAACAGGATTTAGTGGTTGTTGAGGTTCTTGGGGGCAATGAGACAGGCACAGAGAGACCACTACTTTATAGAAGACTATGTTCATACTGCTAAATACCATAAAAGAATAGACAGAGCCAAATAAGAGATTGTTTCTAACCAAAAAGCAGCCAATGTCCCAACCTCAGGAATTTAACACAGTCTGAGAAAGAATCGTAGTTTCCAAAATTGTCAGGTCTGCTTCAGTGTTATATTTTTTTCCCACTGACAAGAGAGAATGAAAGACTGGTAGCTGGGGAGAGTGGCGGGGGTTGGGAGTGTGTTGACAGGTAGTACGCATGCTGGAAACAGTGTCTCAGGGTATAGGGCAGATGGTGAATATACTTGGGAGGTAGTCATCTTCTCTCAAACTGGAAAGCAGACAGATGTTTTCAGACATGATCTGGAAGCTGTGGTGTGGTGGACAAAGGGAGATAGGATCCCTTTGGCACTGGAGGAAGATGCTTGAATCTTCTCCGAGCACTAAAAGTTCCAAAAGACCTAAGGAGAAGGTGCTTCAGAAGAGGGGGATCACTGTCTAACGACATGACTGTAATCAGGCTCGTAAAAGTAAGACCTTATGTAAATACAAGTGAGGAGGAAGACATTCCACATAGGAGGAATGGCTCAAGCAACAATACCAAGGCAGGAAATTGTGTGGTGCATTTAGAAGTAGAAAAGGCTAGGTGTCACAGAGGGGACACATAGGAAGGCAGTGGAAATTAATTTGCAAGAATGAAAATAGGCTAAGAACCTTGAACAGTTTTCTCTAGATAGCAAGGGGCTGTAGAAGATTTTTAGTGGGAAGGCAACCTGTGCAAAGGGGAATTGAAGGAAAATTAATCTGTTAATATTGTGTAAACACATAAGCTGGATAGTAAACTTAACTAAGTTAGGGACTATATCTGCATTATCCACCATTGTCTCCAAAGCGCCTACCATAGTGCCTGGAATGAAGTCAGACCCAATTGAGATGATTAGTATTAGAATAAACGAAAGAAGTACAGTTGTCCTTGGTATCCATGGGGGCTTTGTTCCAAAACCCTCACCTATACCAGTGGGTGGATGGTGCAAGTCCCTTATACGAAATGCCAAAATGTTTGAATATAAGCTATACATGTCCTCCCATATATATAAACTAATCTCTCCATTATTTATAATTCCTAATACAAGGTAGATTCTATATAAATTGTTCTTATGCTGTATTATTTAGGCAATAATGACAAAGATCTGTATTTATTAAGTGCAGTCACTTTTTAAAAAAATATATTTTCCATCTGTGGTTACCTGAATCCGTGAATACAGAACCCACAGATACAGTGGGTCAACTATATTGGCAGAAGTTCAGTTCCACTGGAAGACAAGACTACTGCACAAAACACCACATTATGAGCTGAGACTAGGGTAGTAAGGGAAAACACTTCACATGCGAGAAGCTAATGTGTGTAGTGACTAATTACATATCTAGGTAGGGGAAAAACAAGACATCCTGAATGACTTGAGTGCCTGAGAGATAAAAGTCCAAAAGAGAAGCTCTTCTGGGTACAACGATGATCAATTTGATGTTATTCATAGATTTAATTATTCACAATTTGTTCCTTTCTTTTATTCAATTGAGAGCATAAATAAAAGAACAGATGCAGGAAATAGCTTGGTGATTTCAAGTCATTGAAAGAATGGTGAAATGGAGCTTGGTATGCAAGGTGGAAAGCACAGTGACAGGAGATTGGATAACATGTTTGTAGGGACTGAGTGGCAGGTAGTGACAGATGGGGTCACGCTATATTACCAGCAGAGCTTCTAGACAGTGACTCATTGGCTTTCAGAGATTCCTTGGCTCTGTGGCAACCTGTTTGATTGCTTCTTAATTACACTTTCAAAACTGAATTTAGCATATTGTTGCAGGGCAGTGAAGCAGAGACTGCTGTGTGAATAGCAATTTGGTAATGCCTCACAATCATGATTGGGCCATAGGCAATAACAATGTAGTTTTGTAATGATAGAGGTAGATTTTAAAACCAACAAAACTTTATACATAGGGGAGGCAAGATGGTGTAGTGATTGTGGTTTTAAGCTCTGGAACCAGAATGCCTGGGCTTTCACCCCTTCTCTGTCACTTCATAGCTGTGTGACCTTGGGCAAGTTACTTCACTTCTCTGTGCCTCATATTCTTTATTTTGAAAGTGATGATCATAATAGTGCCTCCTATATAGATTTATATGAAATATTGGATGAAATGCTTTATCTCAAGTGCTAAGAACAGTGTCTAGTACATAATAGGTATTCAATAAATGTTAGTATTTGTAGTTTAGTAACTTTATGCAAAATATAAGTTGGAGTATTGTTTTAATGTATCATCTGGTGTGGCTTTTTATTCCAGTACTTTATTTTTGTCCTCTGGTGTTTCAAATCAGACAGTTAAGCACCCATTGCCTTAGAGGAGGAATTCTAAGCAGAAAATACATTTTAGTTTAAAATCCAGCATTTTGCAATACCAAGAGCCTTGCCATTCCAGTTTCAAATGCCTAAATGCTAAAAGATCAAGGATATAATGTTCATGCTAGAAAGAGTTGATTGGATGAATGCAGAGTGATGGAGAAACCAGCTTTTCTGGCTCAGAGAGATAAACATTTTCTAGGCTGGGAGAGCAAAATGGGACTGATGTCTATGCTCAGATACCAGTTTGCATTCCCAAAATAAGGCCCTATGCCCAGCCCCCGGACATGGAAAGTTCAGGTGAGTAGAAAATAGAACCTGCAAGTAGTTGCTGAGATACAAGAAAAAAAAAATGCCTGTGTCTCACAGTCCCTTGAAGGGACTGTAGGAAGCAGCATGTTTGTCCATCATGGCAAGGGAACATTAAAACAGAGATGGATAGATACATGGGAATTTAGGCGGAAAGCCTTGTAGAATTTCCTTTCACCCAGCACAGGGGGACCCAGGGACAGCCTGGAAGAACATGAGCGAACACCAGCTCATCTTGTGGGCAATAATTGCACAAATTAATGACAGTGATGACTTGAGGGGAACACAGCCATTTTAGCAAGTGCTAGCATAATAGATGGTTGTAATCAATGATTAGTAGTCCTGTCTTATAGCTTGGCATTTTCTGAACCCCCAGGAATGTAGATGCAATGCTAGAGGTTGGGACAATTATCGGGTGTTGGGTTTGTGGGAGACTGACAGAGATTATGCAACATTTATTGAAAGTAAATTCTTATCTCTAGTTGGAATAGTAACATGAAATAAAACTAAAGTTCAGTTAAAAAAATACAGGTAAAAGTTACATTCTTTACATATTTCTATTATGAAAATAGAAATATAGAAAACATATAGGAAAAAATTACATTTCTTGCCTTTGCCCCCCATAAACATACATACAGACCAAATGAATGGATTCATGGGACTACTGCAGAGAAACGTTCAGCTGCCTCTACCCTGCCTTATCATTTTATAGAAGGATGATGCCCAGAATAACATTCTCTTAAATACTCCCATGATTTGTAAGAAGGCCAAGGATTTCTGCCCACACAGATGAAAATAAGGCAATGAAGGAAAAAATTAAAGCCAGTGCTGGTTTTTAAAACATGCATTTTATATATAAGACTTGCAGAATTAAAATGAACCTCAACAAAATTCAAGGCAGTCAAATAATGTTCCTGAAAAGTGGTTACCCTTGAGTTACATTTTTATTATTAACAGATGTGAATGTTTTTTGGCAAGTGGATG